GTTTTTGCACTAAACTCGCAGGTCGCTAATAGCAGGAATGATCCCTGCGCTGTAGCCTAACACTTGAGCTCATATTGGCTGTGCTTTGGCCCTTCCGACATGCAGGAAGAAGGGCGTCGATTGGGATGAAGGTGGTGCGCTATAGAGCCGCGTGGACTTCCAGCCACACGTTTACCAGTTTTTATGCGTTTTTACCTCTATGCAAATTGCAGAAACGCATATTACAACGACCCTGTCTGTGTGTACATGTGTGTGTGTGTGTGTGTGTGTGTGTGTATGTTCGTCTTTCCGGCTATTTCAACTCGGCAAACAAGCAATTTCCAGCGCCAAGATTTTGCTAGTGGGTTCCCCCGATAGGTGCCACCCAAGAACCGCGGTACCAACCCTCATGCAAGTCTGAGCCCCGCGTACGAGACAGTGAAAGTTTTGGGGGGAAAACTGGTAACTCGGGAACGAGAAAAGATAGAAAGCTGAAATATTGGGTTTTGTTCCCTGTCCACATATAACTCAAAGGTCCTTGACGCGAAAATCGCTAGCTTGGGAACCAGGAAAGCTGAGAGCTGAAACTTTCAAGGAATGTTCCCAACATAAGTACAACATAAACCTATTAAACTCAGCCTTCAGTCATACGTGGTCCCCATGTATGAATGAAGGCTAAATTTGACACGGCTCCATGAAATTTTTTGGCGGGAGAATTGCCAATTTTTTGGCGGAAGAATTGCCAACTCGGGGACCAGAAAGGCTGAGGAGCTGAGAATAGGAGAACATTCCTCGTCCAAATACAACTTAAAGGTTTCAAATTCAGCCTCCATGTATGCGCGGTTCTCGTGTAAGAGCACTTAAATTTTTAGCGGGAAAATTACTCATTGAACAGCTGGGTCATTTTCAAAAAAAGACCGCTAAACAGAAGTTGTTTATTTTCTTTTGTGCAAAATTTACGATGATTTAAGATACTGAGCGCGCATGACGGGTGAGAGGAAATAACCATTCATAAGTTAACCTAATCACTTCAAGTTTGGTGCAAAAATGCATGATCGCACCGACTCGCCTGGTGCGATCCAGCCTGGGTTGCAATTTGCACATATGGAAAAACGCATAAAAAGTGGAAATGTTACTAGAGCGGTTGTATTTTGGAAAAAATCCAAGTACGCAGATGAAATGTATGTTCATTTACACATTTGGATGAGGGCGGTCGTTCGTTGCAAAACGCACTCTTTTATGATTTTTCAGTAAACTTGAATATTTCTCACGCTCACCAGCAGGGAATTTCACCTTCAAGCAGAATTAAGACCGCACTCAAAAGTAGGAATCTCAGCGAATTTTTATCCTCGCAGCTTATCCGCTAAACGAAATATCCGCTTCGCTACAAATATCTTTGAAGTGCCCTAAGTCGTGGCGCAAGTGCAAATCGGTGCTCATTTTAGTTGTACTGTTTCCCGCATGGGCGATAAACATGCTGACAAAATTTCACCCATTGTTTTGGGCAAGTTTTCGAGTTAGCACAGTACTAAGTTGCAAACTTTGACGTGATCGTACGCGTGCGCAGGCGTGCGCGGCAGCTGAATTTGAAATCTTTAGCCCGCACATGTACAGAGAATATCCTTGCAAATTTTGAGCCTTCTGTCTTGCCTGGTTCGCAAAATCGTTACCAACGCCAGAGAAATTTGCATTTTTTTTCGGGAGTGCGTACGGGGGTTTAGGTGCGCGTGGGGAAGTACCTTAAAACAAGTGGGTGACA